CAGAACTATGCGCTTTGACTGCATCCCATGAGCCGAGCCCCCTCCATGTCCTGATTACATACGCTGAGCGGGTGTTGGGGTGAAGGGGAGTCCCAGGGATCAGGAGGCATATGGGGGAGAGCCGTGGGGAGAAGGTTTTTGAAAGCCGCCTGCTGCTGCTCTTGGTTTGTGCTGAGCGGAAGCGGCATGGGGCGTCCGCTCTTGTTTTTCCTGTGAACTCCTAGCTTACCGCATGAAGGCCTCCACTCTCAAAGGCACACTCACCAGAATGACAGCGACATTCAGGACACCCCAGGCCTCAAGGCTTCCTAGGGTTATTCCTAGAGCCGTCTCTGCCGAATCTGGTCCTGCTCTCTGCAAGCATGGGCCCAACTGCCTGGCAGTCACCATAGGAATATGCTCTTGGCCTGGTCTGGAGTTGACCGCTGAAGTCTGAATGCGGCTGCCAACACCCGAAATCCCAGTGTACCTCGAAGCAGGCTCCAGAAGATAGGTCTGTGTCAGCTGCCCACATCAGGGATCAAGTAAAGNAGGGAAAAGGCCGTGCCTCCAGCCAAGCACCGGGGCTCCTGGAAGGGGCCTGTGAGAGCAGCGGGACGTGTGCCCCACATCAGGGCCAGCACCGGAGCACAGCCTGCACTAGTCCCAGGGGCTTTTCTTTTCCTTCTTCCTCATCCCTTGGGGTCCTTAAGCTGCTCGTGCTGGGGGAGCTGGGTGCTGAAGGCAGAAGCTGTGTACCCGCCCCGGGCCCACTGGGGAAGGAGAGAGTCTGTCTTCAGATGGAGATGCAAATGTCCAGGAAGGTGTCAGGCAGGGTCAGCTGATTCTAAGTTAAGGCTTTCTCCTTACATGAACACAGGACTTTCTACTACGTATGGTTTGACAGGGGTTGACAGATCTTTTTCAGAAGGTGAAATCGTGACTCACAAATACCAAGTGAACTCCACCAGTCACATACTTTATTTGACTCATGAATCAATGAGAGAAGCCAGTGAAATGTGCAAACCTGTTCGAAGGAGAATCCAAAGACCGCACACATGCACAGCACCCAGGAACGTGGAAAAGGATGCACAGATGGACATAAGGCTTCTCCTCAGGCCAGGAGCAGCGTCTGCAGCCACCTGCAGTGTCCACCATGGCCGTGGGCAGCTGTAAGACCGCTTCAGGTCAAGGAAAGGCACAGCCCCCATGGGCTCTTTCACTCTTTTCTGACATCAGGAAAGCCCTGGGTCTCACCAGAGTATTTGTTCTC